AAGCCTAAAATTATGCAAATCCAGTAGGGTATCTCCTAAGATCATATCTTTACCTTATAGAAAACGTATCTGGAAAAGCAAATGTATGTTCCCTCCTTATTCCTTATTCAGTATCTTTGCCTTAAATTTAAACCTAGGCCCAGTCTGTTAAAAAATTCAACTTACTCTGGAAAATTCAGTTGTCTTGGCAATCAAGTCAGGGCATCCAATTCTTGTACATACTGTCTTTCCAATTTAGTTAGTAAAGTGTGTATTTCTTACAAGGATCTTTTCAAAGTGTAATGCCACACTAAACACTAGCACATATAGCCTTAGCAGATCAATTTTTTAAAAGTCTTAAGTTTCAATGATAGGTCTGATTGATTGCTAGTGCTAGGTGGGCTACAGTACTAAATAAAGTTTTAAAAAAGAAAAAATTCTAAGGGACACACATGGGTGCAATGGAAAATGCAGTGCTCTAGGAGGCTTACTCATATTGGAAGTTTCCAGATTCAAATCTAGAGACTTCCCCGAGTGTGTTGAGTGCTGTGATGCTGATGATCTGGATCTGGCTGAGACTGGGCATGGATTGTGGCAAAGGGATCCTGTTGATGGGGCTATCAGTCTGTTTTACTCTGTCTCTTTCACTCATGGAAGGAATAAATAAACACATTTCGGAAGCTCAGGCAGTGTGGGTGAGAAATCTACCAGCTATGTCTGCTTTGGCTTTTGGAGGTTAATGTTACTGTCATTCATAGTCTCACCACCTACACTTCTTTGCATTCTTTCCAAGGAGGTTATAAATGTTGGAAAATCGTGGAGTGGTTACATATAAAAATATACACAGCAACTTTTCTCGAGAAAATGAATTCATTCCTAATCATATTGTTAGTTAACATTTAAAATGTTGCTTGCTTAATTATATTATTGTACCATAAAGTTATATTAGAGTCTCCTGCCATGATCTTCCTCTAGTGTGGTTGAATCATCATAGTCTCTATAATTATAAAAAACTTAGTGAAATTCTAAACTTCAGAATAATTGATTGATAAACTCCACTGATTCATTGATTACCATTAATGAATGAAGGTCATTCAGAATAATGAAAACTCCCTCTCAGGCCAGCAGATGACAAAGCTGTTACATAGTTGGAGTCCCACATGGCTGGCAGCAGTTCAAGTCCCAGACACACTGTCTTGAAGCTCACACTGAGCCCGTGTACTTCCATGCTCAAGATACTGGGAGGAGAGGGGATTTCAGTGTGGCCATCTCCCTGGGGGAGTGATTTCTCACTTTTCTTCTCACTGACTCTGTCTCTTTATCTCTCTGGTGAATGCGTGCCCTCAGGCACAAACCTCTTTAAAAAAGAAAACTCCCTCTCCCTCAACTCCATTAAATGGTAAAAAGATTTTTCTGTATGTTAAGATTTGGTGAATTATTTATAAATGTCTTTATAAGCATGACTTAGTGTAGATACTTTATATTGTAAGTTTACTTGAACAAAAACACGTAATTATCACGTTAGTTATAATTCAGACTCACCATATGAAATGAGAATTATAATTTCCTCATTCTATCATCAATGACAGGTTTATTTTCAATAAATGTGCTCACCCACCACCACCCAAACCTCTTGGGGTAGTGTTTCTAGAGCAAGCACTTTCTAGAAAAACTTCACATGGCTGATACTTTCCATGAATTCATGAATTCATAATCCACTTAAGCCATGAGGACAAGCCCTTGATCTAAACTCTAGGGAAAACCAACTTGTTTATTTTAATGATTCCCTCTGAGGGTTGTTCACCAGTCTACATTTGCTGTATATGTTTCCTATCTCCTTTTTTTTCCCCAGCCTTCAAATGATTGCCATATTTTTTTTCCTGGAATTAAAAGATGTGACCAATATATATTCAGAATCTCACTGTCACTACCTGTCTTTAAAGAGGCCACTGCTCTACCAGAACTGGTAGGTTTAAATAAAAGTGCTGACAATATATCCCAATTATATACTTTAATTAATTAGGAGACACTTTACATAAAACTTGTAACTGAATGCAAACCATATTATTCTTATAATGTGGGCAACTGTGTAAGACAATTTGGATAATGAGCATCTGGACAAATGTTTGTAGTACAAAAAAGAGGCAAAAAAATCATTCTGTGACTGGTAAATAAATTCTGTTCCCATTTCTGATCCATGGGGTCAGTTTTATAATTCAAGCTTAAGATCTTGGATCATCAACTTGAATCATTTCTATCCATGGGGGAAAAAGGGCAGAATAATTTACAACAGGGTAACATCATGGAAAAATTAGACTCCTCTATGGTTAATTTTTACATAAGTGATAAATCATCTAATAAAATCTCAGATCAGGAAATCAAAGCATTGACTTATTGGGTCTTTTATTAATTTAATAATCTATATGTTCACCTTCCCATATTGAGTGTTTATTTTTATTCAGAAAATATTTATGGAGTGCCATGTGAGATAAATTATTAACTTAAATTAATTCTTCTCATTTCTTCTTAATTTTTACATTTATTTTCTTGACTAAAGACATATAACTTTTCAGTCAATAAAATTAATTTTACTGCATATATATTAATTTTTGATAGTTTCAATCCAAGGACTATCCCCTATTTTTCTCAAATAACTGGCCTTTTTCTACCTACATCTTAAAAGATTTTTCCTATTTTATTAACTTGAGCAATATATAAGAGTCCCTTTTCACTTATAATGTTGAGACCTTTTTTATTAAATATACAAGTGCGTTCTTTTAATTAAGAAGATATCTAGAGTGGGTATTTTTGCAGAATATCTGATTTTTCACTTATCTTTTTTTAACTGTTTTTTTATTTCAATTTATTTATTTGCATTCATTCACTGTACATCATTACAACATACAAAATGAGATTTTCCATCCAGAGTACACTGTATATTGTCTCAATCAAGCACATCAACAAACATGTTATTGTCAGCAAATAATTTTCCATTTCTTGTTTTCTGTATGTTTTGCTTTTTTTCCCCCATCCTTGATTCCCTATCTCTTACCCTCTGCCATCTCCCACTCTCCTCCCACACTGTCTCTGGTATCTATGTTTGCTTTCTATACTGTTTTCCCCCCCCATTTTTTTTTTTGAGAGATTTTCACTGTAGGGCACGTGCGCTCGCCAGACAAACAGAGAGAGACATAGAGACAGAAAGCGAGAAATCACCCCCCAAGGGGGATGGTCACGCCACAATCCCTTCTCCTCCATTCTCCTCTCTGGATCTTGGGCACGCACGCACACGCGCCCGGCGTGAGTTTTAAGCCACCGGGTCCGGGACACGAACTGCGGTCAACTACGTGGGAGTCCAGCGACATAGTCATTACACTAACTGCCGGTTCCTCCCCCACATTTTATTGAATTACTTAAGACCTTAATTAATCTAAATAGTTTCATAACAAACACAGGTGATATATACATTTCCATGAACACAAGTCTAACTGTATGCATTCTATAAAGTAGCACCTAGCT